CCCCCACCGCCTTCGTGTGGACTCTTACCACCTCTGCGGGACACACGGAGCTGCAGCCCAGGTATGTGTTCTTGCTTAATATAGTAGATTAATATCATTGAATTAAACTTTAAACATAATTCAATATTCCAAAGTTTCCAATAAATTATCAAAGAAATATTTAAGCAAAGTGCATCCCCAGCGTGCACAGCCTATAATTTAAAATAAACGTACGTGTATTTCAGCGGGGCGCAGTTTTCCGCACTAAANNNNAGAGAAATAAACGAGAGTTAATCTCTACTTTACGGCTCTCATGAGACCTATCAAGATGCTAAAATTTTTACTTTAAAATAAATACAGCCGCACTAACCACATTTAAATTTTAAAACTGTTAATATTTACTGTTTAGTTATTTTTTTTATAAACAAAAATTTCTGTCTCTAAAAATCCACTATGAAATGTGTTGGAGCGTAGTGTGCTTAATTTGAAACATATCTTAGTGCAAAGAAAGTATTTAATTACTACATTAATATACTAAAATAAAGGCCTAATAAATAAAGAAGGTAAATTCTATCTTTGTTAATTATTCTGGTAAATTGCAAGGAGCAAGCAAAATATGTTTTGAAATATGTTTTTTTTAAATAGATATTAAATTCTGCTAAAGATAATAAACAATAACAGCAGCAGCACAGAATTCCATGTAAACTCGTAAAACCTGATTCCCAGAATTCAAGAGAACGCAGACTATTAAAATATAAATTTGTATTTCCATACGAATAAAGAACATTTTTTAATTGTTCGATTCGTTTATATATTTTGTTATAGATTTAAAACAGTCTAACATAAGTGATTAAACTTTCTGTTTTATAAGTATCGTTAAAATTCGAAATTTGATAAGATTATTCCCAAAAATATCGCACTTAGGGACGTTGAGTGGTCACTTCAAAGTGTTGTATTGTTTCTAGTCTGTACACGATGTACAACTTCTCGTCCGTGCTGCGCTACACGCCGCTCTCCAACATGGATTACGGAACTATTTCATGTTTCGCGGTGAACGCGGCCGGCCGCCAGGACACGCCCTGTCTCTACAAGATTGTTCCCGCAGGTACGTTGTCTATTGTCGCCTGATACTTTAAAGGTAACGATCATAACGCTCTATATTGCTGAAATATCATCAACAAGACATCGTAATAAACTAGAAAACGCCTGTAATCACATATTGCTGTTATCGATACCGACTAGTACTGACACTAATAGTATTGATACTGATACTACGAGTAGTATCAGTACTAGTTTGTATCGGTATGGTAGTACTGATAATAGTATCATTACAGGTACCGATACTATCAGTATCAGTATCGGTACTTGTCGGTATCGGTGCCGACAACACATGACAATATGGACACAGGGTAAATAATAATTGGGTAACCTTCTAAGAAATATGTACAGTAATAACTAATAGTGTGTATTACATTAGTTACTTGTTTCTCTAAATGTAAATAGGCACGTTTGCTATATTATACGATGATGTTTGATGTACACATTGCAAGGTAATATCGACGTCAGTTCAATGAGGTTATAATCAACATTTGCGAATTAGTTCAGTAACGTGTTATGTTATTCAGTGGTTTGATTTGAGCTACAATTTTCAATCAATTGAATTAGTCATATTGTTATTGACGTCAATGTTTCCTATGTCCAGATCGTCCGGCCAGTCTACAGAACTGTTCGATTGTGAACCAGAGCTCCGAGGGCTTGGCCGTGGAGTGCGCGGAAGGCTTCGATGGAGGATTGCCTCAGATATTCTACATGGAAGTGCTAGAGTTACCTTCGCTTGTGGTAAATATACATAACAAATTCGACATAAGTAAGTGTGCATAATACTTTAGTACTGCGGAAACTATATGTGTATTTTAATTAAGGTATTACTTGGCAGTCTTATTTATAACTTAAATTAACTTCATTGTTTATTTTCCTCATTTTCCCGCTTAGAAGGCGTTGGTTTATTTTTTCATTTACCAATTACCAGAGGTCGGCTTTGTGTCGTTAGATGCCATATTTTCTATCAGTAATTGGATCTGTCGCTCCGCTCTTCCTATCCTCTATATTCTATCGCGCTGTCTAGTCATTTTTCAGCCTCGCTATTTGCTATTAAACAATATACACAAACAAGACTAAGGACATGTCTATTTATTCTTTAACCTTCAAAGACAGTAAAGTCAAGTATAATTTTGTTCTCCATTATAAACATTTTAACTTGTCTAGAAAACAATTTGTAACTTCTTATGAAATTGATAATTGAAGACTGCTAACAATAATAAAATCACTCTTTATTCGAAACAGTCAGTTACATATTATTATCTATTCAGGTCCGAGCGAACGTGAGTTCAAACTTCACGGCGAGTTTCGAAGTGCTAGGGGTGGACAGTAGAGTGAGCTACATACTGAACTTGTACTCCGCCAATGCGAAGGGCCGGAGCGAAATGGTCACTTTGTACACGATTGCGTTGAGATCTCCCGATAAATATACTGGTAAGTATTTTTATTAAGACAGTATACTGCTACGACTTAGGGT